ATATATGAAAAAAAATCTTGAACATACTAGAAAACAAATATGTAAAAAAAAGGTAAAAAGGAATTCATAAAAAACTAAATTGTAAAATAAGATATAAATTTTTCATAATAAAATAATTACCAAAAATAATAAAAATGAAAGATTTCTTAAGCATGAACATTAGAACCATGTTATTATGATTTCAAAGTAGCAATGATTATATCTTTCATGATTATTATGAATTCGAAGTAGCAATGATTATAACTTTCATACTTAATAAATCTTAAGATTAATACAAGACGGAATTCGATTTTGATTTTGAATTATTTTTTATAATTAAACTTTGATTTTGAACATACATTTTTAAATTTTATATTCGACTTAACAGATCCAATGCAATGAAGAATACATTAAGGATCACTTGTCCAACATGTTTCTTTGTCCTCTTTTACAGGCCAAATTGAAGATAAGCATTAATTCCAACAAAAATTTTAAGATACAAAAATAAAACAAAGTTCATCTCAACTAATATCCGTATTAGTATGCTTCCATCCCCCATCCTTGTTTGGGTTTATTCAATCAAAGTTCTTCATTAGCTTCATCATCTTCATCATCATGGGTTGACTCATGTTGACCACTACACAAAAATATCAACATCAAACACAACACAATACAACATATTCTGTTATATCATGTCATGCGTAACAGATGAGAAATGGGATGAAATATTCAAAATTACCTTGTTTTCTTGCAATGTTTGCTAAGATCTTGACACAAAACTTTGCTCACTTCTCCTACTTTGACTGATCCTTTCTTTATCAATTCCGCTAGCTGTATTTTTTTATTTATTAGTTTTAACACTATTCTATATATTACTTAAGATAATCCTATAATTTATTATTTAAAAAACTGAAAAAGATTATATAGAAGTGTAGCTCATTAAACCGAGTTCAAGAAAGCTTTGGCTAACCTCATCTTCGGTTTCCTCAAGTAACCTGGAAAATAAGTATACACAAATAAATAAAAATACCAATAGAAAATATTAAATATTTTTATGGTGTAAATTAGTTTTCTCATCTCACCTTCCACAATAAGATGATATCTCTTTCGAATGAGCACGTGATTCTTGCTTATCTGTAAAATATAAATAACAAGATTTGTCACATAAAACCTCAAACTTACTTGAAATCAGTCAACATTTTTTTACTTAACTCTTTTTAATTTTAATTAACAAATAAACCATATAAAACAAGCTTACTGAAGGAAGTTATTCACCAATACATACTACTAGTCATGTCATCCCAATCATCCACTTTAATCCATGTTTTTTTGTTTGAATCTATCTGCATAATTTCCAAAAAAATAATGAACAAAATGAAAGAATAAAGTTTTTACTTCATTATTCAGATATAAGAATAATAATACCTTCTGAAGAGTATAGTCTTGCATTTTATCACAAAGTCCATCTAAGAGGTCAACAACTCTCAGCTCACTGACTCTGTATAACAGAAATTGATTATTGTATTATGTTGTCATATAAAAAATTTTGTGTGGGAAAAGTTTATTTTAATAAATAATAAAGAAAGGTGAAAAGTTATTTAAAATTTTACCTGTAATCTATTACCTTTCCTCTGCGTTGACCTGTGGAATCCAAACGATGCCTCATATCTAGATGATTTTTTGGTTTTTCCTGGAATAATATAAAAGTAAAACATGATTGTAAAAATAATTTACAGAATAGATAATTGAATAAGTTTTAAGTCATGATACAGGAATGAAATAATGCATTGGAGAAAAAGGAGAAAAAAAAAGTGTACCTTCATCATTTCAAGTTCCAGTTCCTCCTGCAAAATGTGAAAGCACTAATCAGTTTCAAATCCATGGTAGTGATCAATTTATGTTTAGTTAGTTTATAGTTTATTGTTATTCTAAAAGAGTTCTATAAACAGTTAGCTTCCTAAATAAGAAAATTTAGTAAATGGGTTGTGTAAATGTTCATTTCATATATGATGTTTTTATAAATCAAGAAAGAAATTACAAATTACTAACATAATTTGCATTGCAATTCCTTTCAGGCTTTCACCTATTTACATATAATACTGAAAAAACTTGAATTCCTTTTGATCTCCTACAAACAGAAATCTCTTCCTTCCAAAAAGATTCTACCAACATAAAACAAAATGTTAGAAATCTAAGGGAAGATAATAAGGCGTTTGCGATAATCATATTCCTAGATATCTTTAAGATCATGTTTCTTCACATTCCTTAAAACTGTATTTCCACCCTTTCCAGGGGTTTCACGAAATCAGGTGCTTGATAATCCAAAGATTAGCACTTCCAGTCTTAGGCACAAAACTTGAAGTAAAGTACTAGAAACCGGAATCATAGTACTTGTTTACTAGAACAAATCACAAAGGCTAATTAACATAAATCTTCATAACTCTAAATTTAACAGAAAATAGCTAAACACATTTAGGTTTTCAAGCTAGGATAGAATTTCCAATTACCCCAAAACCAGCACAGATTTCAATACATCACATATAAAATCACAAATTGGATGCACCATAGCAAACTACAGATCGAACAATTTCAAGATCAAATGATGGAAAGGTTGATTACTCACAGCTACGGCATTGCAAGCTGCGCATTTGTCATGAATGGAATGAGCTATAGATAAAGTGATAAATATAGCCGCAACGAAGATCAACCGTCGCAACGCCGCCCTCATCGTCATCTTCTGTTCTTCTCTACGGCGTACACCTACTCTACACTCATTTGATAAGCAGCGATCTAAACTAAAATATTAACCGCTGACCGGAGAGTTTGGTTACGTGGAAGAAGAGTGTTGTGACCAATCGGGAAGAGCCGCCTGGCGCAGGCTGGAAGGGATCCGCCACATCAGATTGATTGTATTATCCATTTGCCCCCTTTGAGATTTAGAAATTGCATATGTGCCCTTTTAAGTGTTGACTTTTGTAGAGCTTTATAATTTTTGTCTTCATAGATTGTTTACCAAATCACATGTTTAAATGTCATTCAATAGCAACCAAAGCAATCTATTTCCCAATATTTCTCCATTCAACCAAAGAGTAGCTATTGATTCATAATTCTAACTAAGGATAATTCGTTATAAATATATATATACCTTTAAGTAGTGATCACTATACAATTATTGATCACAATAACAACCGAGTTCTATAAATATTTTAGTTTGAACGGTGAACCACAAACTTCATAGTACTAGCAACACAGTATGCAATTTTTTGCTCAACATAAACAATTTTTTGAAAAACAATAAAACATCCTTTAGATAGAACATATCTAAATGTTAAACTAATCATACTTAATATAAATACCATATCTAAATGTTAAACTAATCATACTTAATATAAATACCATTAAGTATTAACTTATATAACTAAACAATTTTTACCAACATATCTAAATGTTAAACTAATCATACTTAATATAAATTCCATTAAGTATTAACTTATATATTTTCATCATAGATAAGAATAAACATCTAGATAAAAATATGTATAAATGTATGCAAAAAGTGAAAAATTAATAAATAAATAAATAACATATAAACCATGCTAAGAGCATCCATAATGTATAGTTCAATGAAAAAATTGAATGAGATAACATATCTAATTGATATTCAATGGATTAAACTCTATCATTGTGGGATGTCATGTTGACATTCAATGGAGACGGAGTTCAATAACCACTGGACTCTTCAATGGGAAAAAAAATCTTTTAACTATTAAATATATATTTTATTGAACTTTATTGGGCTCAATACATTGTAGGAAAATTAATATAGAGTTGTATAGTAAGTAAATGATGTTGTGTTACTCCAATAAACTCAAATAAGTTTAATGCATTATGGATGCCTAAAGGTCATGTCAAATGTAGTTTAAATAAGAGAAATCTTCATAAAAATCTATATTTTAAACTAATTAGTGATAAAACAAAATTTTCATTTCCATAATTGTTAATGGAAAAGGATAAGAAATCGAACAATCCTTTATATGTTTGAGATTTTAGTCGGTAACCTTTAGAAAATAATTATATTCAGGGTTTTCTAATGATAAAGTAATAGTTTTTTTTAACATAACAAAGTATTATAGACTATATTCTTATTGTATTTTCTTCTAATAGAGAATATTATATTACAGTTGTTGGTATCTTGTAACTTTTAATAAACAATTGTTGATTTTTTTCATTTTCTTTTACATAAAAAAAGTCATGACTTTATAACCTGAATATAATAATACATAAACTTTTATAAATACTTCATTTTTAATAATGTACTAAATAAACTAGTTTTTTAGGAATAGTTTTATATTTATAACACATTTATAACTAAAATCAACTAGTCGTTTTCTTTGCAAGTCAACCTAACCTAATTGAATCAAATTAAAAAGTTTTAAGGCAACCATGTTTGACTTGTTACATAAAATAAAGTTGAAGATTTTGAAAATACATAAGTAAGTTTGAATGATATATTTCCCTATATAATTATTTTAAAAACTATCATACACTTGCAATCAAGTCGGATATCATATACTTTTGGGCAAATTTTTAGAAAAAAACATATTTTCATTCAATTTTCATACATATGTAAAATACATAATCTCAAAAACTTTTTTTTTTATTTTTAGAAAACATATTCTCAAACTCAACTTTTAGATAATGTTTTTTTATGCAAGATAACACATGACTAAGTTTGTTGGAAAAAAGTTACAACTTTTAGTACCACAAAAAATATAGAAGATAAAAATTTATTCTCTGGTTCTTGCTATGCAAAAGGCATAATTAATGTTTGTTTTTTGTCTTTTGTTTCTGCAAAGACGCATAAACAAAAGAAACAAATACCCCCTCGTTTCATCATCGAATAGAGCACAAAAAAGCTTGTCCAATCCCTCCATTCTAAAACCAAACACAACCTTATGAACCACTATAATCAAATAATAGACAAGGTAACTACAATAGAAGTAACCTTTTGGTAACCAAATCCCATATATTATATCATAATTCGTTCATTGTTGTCTTGTTGAGTTTGGAAACACATTCACTAAAATAAAATCAACTTAAATTACATTTTTTTTATGTTACAATTCAACAACTCAAACGACATACACCCTTCAACTTCCTCAACAAATTCTTTTAAGTAAAGACAACAAAACAACTGCACAATTTTACACCCAACATATCCTCGATTCAACAACAAAGCAAAAAATCAATTATACACATCTAATGAAAAAAAAACATCATATCTGTTTTCTATATACACTATCCAACGTAAAAGAAATCACAAAAACGGCTAAAAGCCATTAATGTCAAAATCCCTTCACACCAACAGTGTATAACGAAAACAATATGAAGAAACAAAAAAATAAAATAAAACATAACACAAAACCACATATCATACAACAACATCGACAATTGTTTCTAGAATCTTCCATTATGTGTTGGGAAAGATCCCCGAGAAGTTTGGAATCTTGTCAACATGTTTCAACGCCCGCTCAGCAATCTGACGTGTCCGATAATCGCCATGCTGGAACGCCTGGACAAGAGCTGTACTAACATTCGGATCACCCGAAACTTCATACGCGATATCTTCAGTCCTTAAAAGCCTTTCAACAACCCAAACAGCTCGCCTCCATAAATTATCAGTCTTTTTTTCAACTAAAACATCCAAAATCGGCTTAATCCCTTCACACTCACATAAAGCAGCAACCCCTTGTTCTATATTCACTCCATCATCCAACAAAGTTGATAAAGCAGCCAATGCAGCTTCAATCACTAACTCATTCGTATGATCCAAAAGCGCCACAAGTCTAGCTAATCCGGGACCTTCTAGAAGACAAAAAGTATCCCTTCTAGAACACGCCCCACGGTGGACCCTACATAGCCCCGTCATCACCGGTTGTTTGCTAAAACAAGGAAACATCACCCCACAATAGCCAGGTGGCGGAATCTCAGGGAGTTGAGTCAAATTCTTCGATTCTTGAGATAAATTCTCTAAAGAAAAAGCTGAAACCATTTGCACGTTATCAAGCCCGTTGACTTGAAGTAAGTCAACAAACAACCCCGCGAGATCATGTTCACGACATAACGAAACAGCCTTCGGTTCCTCGGTCAACACAAAAGTCAACCTCGAAAGGACCCTCACAAGTCCTTCTAAATACGGTGTTACAAAACGGGATCTTCTGGGTTCCCCTTGTCTTATCATTTTGATTCTAGAAACTACCATTTCAAACGCGCCTTCATCCAACATTTGTCTTGTAAGTCCCATATCACGTTCCGGAAGGTCCGCCAACAACCCGACAGCCGCCGCTTGTTCCTCGGTGCTCGCAATGTTTTCTGAAATCACTTTGATTAACCCACCGAGTTGACCGGCAGCCCCACGTAACGAACTCGCCAACTCTTGTCCCATGTTCGGGGACAAATTATGTAAAAGTTTAATCGAAGCTAAACGAAGATCTTGTTGTGGGGCCTCAATGAATTGCACTAAACTATTAATAGCACCCGAGCTTTTGATTGCTGACACAACACTTATCAAAGTAACGGGTGAGTTTGTGAGGCCCACGAGGACGTGTAAAAGTTTGCATTCGATAGCGGGGCCCGTGTTGCTGATGAGGTGGAGGAGGTTATGGATTATGTCTTCGGAGACTAAAGTTTGGTGGTTGGGGCCCACGGGAATGGAATCGAAGTCGGAATCGGAGGCTACGATGTTGGCAAGAATTGTGGCGGAGATTTCTTTGAGGCGCATCGGGAGTTGACTTTGACTTGTGAAAAGGTGTTGGACTAATGGCGAAAGGATGCCTTGGTCAACTAAGATTTTGGCACTTGGTTCGCATGAGGAGACTTGGTTTAAGGCTTTTAAGGCGGCTTCTCGTGATTGGATGTTGGTGGTTTTCATTAGGTTGATTAATGCGGGCCCCACGGATGTTGCCACGTAGACTTTTACATCGTTGCTTAATGCCAGCTCACCGAGGTATGACGCCATGGAGAGTTTGAGTTCTGGTGAACCTTCTAGAAGAAGTGTCAAAAGAGGTTGCAATCTACCATTTTCCGCCATTTGTCTCACATTATTCTCGTTATTCTCCAAATTTTCAAGAATTTTATCCGCTTTCTCAACTGTTGACACATTTTCAGAGTTACTACTTGTCATTCCAACTAATATCAAGATTGCTCCATTAACAGATCCGATCTTTTCAACCATAGCTTCAGATTTTGAAAGCTCAAAGAGCAAAGATACAGCTTCTTCTCTCTCTTTAGATTGTTCATGAGACAAAAACTTCACTATTGTCCTCACGTTGTCTCCTTCCGCCATTATTTCCTGCAAATTAACAAAAAGAATCACATACATGATACAACTTTCGTTCAAATTAACGAATTAAAAATCAAAGATTAATTAAATTAGTCACCTTATTATCATCATCATCCTCCACCACAACATGAAGAGTCTTCAAAGTTGTACACCTCACTCTTCGACTACTACTCTTCAACATATCAACAATCATTGGAATCAAATCAGCATTACGAATTATATGCTTATTTGAAAGATTCCTTTTGCAAAGATCTTGAACAAATCTCAAAGCACGCAAAATATCAGTCTCGGGACAACCGATGTTTAAAGATTTGCGGGCCATGTCCAGCTGGACAGCTTCGTTTCTAGCATTCCATTCTTCAATTGTGTTCCTCAAAGCAATACTTGGATTCATATCGGTTGTTTTTAGTTCTTTTAATGTTAAGGGGCAGATGAGTTTTCTGTTGTTTTCTTTACATTCGTTGAACCAATTTTCAATGGCTTCACGTTCGAATGTTTGTCCATTTTCTAGGGTTACAGGGTCTCTCATAATTTGTTTTGTAAGAGGGCATATGAATGCATCATAAATTGGCTCTATGTGTTGTCTTTCGTATTGGAAGCTATCATCTGATTGGCTACCAAGTTCATGACTTTCATCCCAGCTCCCTGCCATTTGACTGAATGCAGCCTGTGAAAGTTTTAAAAAATCAACAATCATATTCGATAAATTGCAAACCAAAATTATAGATATAGATAATTAGCTACAAACATGTTATATTTAGAAAGGATGTTCACCTTCAAATGTTGCTAGCTTTTTGGAAATTCTGGAAGTGTGACACTTCTAGCCTTGGTATTGAGACATTGATGCAAGGAGGTCTTCTACAGTAATAAGAGAATAAAGATCAACTATTAGTCAATTACATAAATGACCCTCCTCAAGAACCATAAAAGAGATAATCTTTTGGATTAAAATCAATGTCATTGATACTTTGTAAGGGCAAGGAGACAACTCTTATAGAAATGTTGTCAATAATGGAACTTGTTACATTCATATCAGAACATCCGAATAGGAGTATAGGACATAGTCCATGTTACTAATAAAGGGTAATTTAGTCCATAGATTAATAATCAAACCTTCGTGTTGCAACTTTCATTACAAGCAGAAGTAATTTGTGTGAATTTCAGCAAAATTTCAAAGACCACCAATTCACTTCATAATTTGACACATCTTAGAGATTTCATCTTATAACATCAAGATTTCTACTACAATTTCCATTGGCAAAAATCAATGCAAAACCCCAAAATATGAAAAGCATAAAAGCAATCTCAAAGTCAAATTGAAAATGAAGAATCGCATATTTGGTTCAGTAGTATCCACTCTGGATCAGAAGCTCACAGCAAAACTCAATAACTAATTGCAAATCATAATCACAATAACACCTACGCATAATTTTTAGAAAAACAAGCAAAATTACCTTGTATTCTGCAACTCAATTGAACTTCTGCAAAGGTGAATTCATCCTTCGACCTGTTGTACCAATTATTGACGCAAAAAGGGTGTTTTTATCAATAATACAAATAACATATGAGAATGAAGAGAGGATTTCTTAATTTGCTAGTATCGGATGAAATTTGGGGGGTTTTTTTCTGACAATTTCTCCGTCGAATCGAAAGAAAAGAGAAGGAAGGTGCCCAGGTGATCAAATTGAAAGATGACAGAAATTCAAAAGTCAAAAACGAAACTTCTGTAAAAATTTTAATACTCATACAAAGGTTTTAGAGAGAGAAAGATGAGGGAGGTTTTGAAGTCAATGATAATAGTCGTCGTATTAGACCGTAGAACATAGTGACACAATTGTGGAGTGTATGGCATACCGTTTGACTCGATAACATGGAAGGATTTTCAATATCCAAATTAAAGCGTGTCTTTTTGATGATTGATCAACCTTTTCAACTATTGTTTTTAATTTTTTTTTTTATGTTCATAAAGATTCTTTTTATAATATGATTAAATAATATTTGACAAATATTAAATATACGATGCTTTATCATATATTTTTGAATGCATGTTATATGAAATAATATATCTATAAATATGTTACAATGTTGTTTTTAAGGATATTAGCTTTGAGTTTTGATTTGTATGTTGACTCTCTAAGGTTTATTCGGACACAATTTTACAGTACCTGTAGCATTGATTGTGTAACATCATCAATTCTATACTAAATGAGTATATTGTATTCTGTAACCGAGTGCGTTATAAACATTATTTAATTGTAATAAAAATTCGATTGTACAAGTATGATGATATTGGTGTATTAATTTTCATCTAATTTTACTCGTAAAATTGTGAAGAGTATAAATGATAATGCATGAGTTAACAATGAAAACGTTACAAGTGCACCTCAGTGTTTTTGTGCGTATTAGCTAAGAACAATCGACACAACAAAGGGCATGATGTCTAAGTCACATAGGTGAAGCAAACATACTGACACGACATTCAAGTCATGTGGCAAGTCGTGTGACGCCTATGATCACTTGTTGAGATGCATCGACTTTCATTGACCACTAGGTTTAAATTTCACATACTTTGTTCAGTCTCATTTCTTCTCTTGAAAAGCTGAGGCGCAAACTTGGGGGCGTGTAAGACGATCTATTGAAGCTTGAAGTTTAAAATCTTTTCATCCTAATTAAAGGTATAAAAATGTAAGAATGTTGCTAAATAGACACACTATGGACATCCTTTATCAAAAGATTGACTACTTGTAACTAGTTTTTTTTTCCCGAAAAATAATGCAATTTCAATAAATAAAAATAATTTAATAAATTAGCAGTGTCTATATGGTAAAATAGAGTGTTTTTTTAGCGAACCCCATATGTAATCCCCATGATTAATTCACTTTATGATCCAAGTCATTAAAATAGGGTGTATATGATAAAACTGGGAAGATGATTATATGAGATTGATGAACTTCATGTTTGTACTTGGTTAAGATATTATACATATTGATTGCATATTAGTGGTTACTTAAGTTATAATACGTATTAAAGTAATTATCATATACTATGCAAGAATTGGAGATTATACTCACCCTTTTATACCAAAATGTCAAAGGATTAGAGTTAATATCCGGTGTTATTAGCTCCCTCATGTTAGTTTTTTTAGAATGATGGAATTTTATTAATCAGAAAACCTAGTAAGAAACAAACAAACACATAAGGTAACAACTAGTTTAGGTTTTGAAGCCACCCAACCCAATTAAAATTAAAAAAAAAAAAAAAAAAGTCTATTTTAGTATTTTGACACTAGATAAGCTAATAAACTTTTTATTAAAATCATAAGTTGTTTTAAATAAGCAATCCCAAATATCCTCTAAAAACATGACACTGAAGTGGAGATGGATACCGAAAAGAGAAATAAAGAGCATCATCGAGTTAGAGAGCTCGAGAGGCATCAAGGGTACAATTAACGGTACAACTGGGAAGAGGGAGTCTATGTTTCTCTGGCTGTAATTTCATTCTCAAGTTGTTCTATAACATACAAATCCTTCTGTATGAATTTTATTTAATTATAAGAAAATCTAGGTTGCCAGATATAGTGATGGCATCACCACGACGTGACAATTTAATTTGTAGCCGTGTGTTTTAAGGTTGTGAGATCATCTTGGCAAGCTTGGAACTTCTGTTTGAGTATTTTCTGGATTCTTGTGCGTAATGTTCAAATCTTCATGCATTAGGGCCTTGGATCTATGCTTCTTATCCATTTTCTCATATTTTGGGAATGTTTTGATAGTAGGATGTCATAAAGTTGGCAACTTTATGAATCCTTGTGGTGCATTAAAGGTTTTATTCAATGGATTTGAAGAGTTAGTGAGTTTTGGGCATCATACATGGGATTTGATCTCATTTTCCCTTCATTTTGACATAGCTTATGTTAAGACATGCATTGGACATACATGTCTAAAAAGCAATGATTTTTATGGTATTCTGAGATAAGGAATACCTCCTAGAAAGTTTGGTTGTTTGGCTTGAAGGATTAAGAGATTAATGCATTAAGTTGCCTTTTTTTGGACTCTAGAACCTAAATCTAGACTTATACGAATGTCTTAAGGGATAAAGTTAGAAACTTTATCAATTAAGACCTTGGAAAGGACCAAATCTGAGCTTTGGAGCTCTTGAAATCAGAAGAAAATGAATTAAGCTTGTTTGAGTTGTTTAGACCAGTCCCCACGACGTGGCCTTAGGCTGTCACGATGTGGAGACTGGGGGATCATCAACTGTTTTGGCATTTAGTGCCCATGACATGCAGGGCTGCTGATTGGCAATTTTGACTTTGATTTGACTGTTGACTTTGAGGATTGACTTTTGACTCGTTGACTTTTAGTCAAAGTTCTAGTTTAGAAAGATGGCCTAAAACTTTATCTTGTGTGGTAATCTAGGTGGCGTTTAGTACCTATTTCCTGATTGTGTGGGTTGTTGACATTTGATTGCATTAGCGAGGTGAGTCTCTTCACTATAGTCGTGGGTCAAAAGCACCAATGCCGGCCCACTGAATTGTGTTATGTAGGATGCTAGTTGTCTTTGTGACTCTTGCATGTATGTTTGGGTTGAAATATACCCCAGGGTTGGGCCCACTATTGTATGTTTGGATTGAAATATACCCCAGGGCGATGACCACTATTGTATGTTTGGGTTGAAATATACCCCAATACTAGACCCACTATTGTATGTTTGGGTTGAAATATACGATCGGGCTGGGCCCACTGATTTGTATGGTATGTGGTATTTTGGGGAACTCATTAAGCTTTGTGCTTATGGTTTCGTGGTTTAATATTTTCAGGTACTTCCAGTTCGAAAAGGAAGGATCTAACATGATTGCACAACATCCCTTTATGATTTTTGTATTGATGATTATTCTACTATGATGTTTTTGATACATTGTTTTATGACTATTTAAGACACATGATGTATGTCTTGATTTTTTAAAAATGAAAATTTTTTGTGACAATTTTTGGGTCGTCACATGTCCTCTATTCTTTATTTTGTACAACGTTTTGTTTACATATTTTAACTTTTGTTGCTTTCATTTTAGTTTATATAGCTTAATTTTTCCTTTGTAATCCAGTTGAGAAGCTAAACTGTTTTCGATCATTTAAGCAAATCTGTTGTTCAAATTTTTTTGTTAAAATTTCGAAAGGCATATACCCTTGCATAGATCCAAAGTTTCATACTTTCATCAAGTTTGTTACATTCAATTTCATCCCGTGTTGTTGGGTTAGATGTGTCATCAATGTGATCAAACACTCCAAACATGTAGAATGTGATTTCGAAAGTTGGCGTCAAACATTATTGTTCAACTCATCAAGTTTAAGGATAACATGAATGATAGCTTTGATGTTTGTAATGTGGTAGTATTTTTCAGCAGATGATTGGGGGTTAAGGACAACACTTGCCTTTTTTTTTTTTTTTTTTTTTTGTAGGAAATAGAAGGGTAAATATGTCCTAAGATTTAGGCCGTTGAGACAACACAATAAAAGAAGGGAAGGGGTGATATTGTAGGGAGATGAGAGATTTGCTTGGAGGACTTTAGGCTCATGATTGACAAGTTCTTACCGGAAAACAAATATATAAAATACAAAAGGATATGAGCCTACACTACACATAAGATGACCTAGGCCTGTCAAATCGGGCCGTCGTGTCGTGTTTTTGTCTGACACGACAATTTTTTTTGTAACACGAACACGACACGACACGATGTCGTGTTTTTTCTCACTAACACGAAAACGAACCAATTAAAAAAACGACAACACGACACGACACGACAAAGATAATATTACATAACTATTATTTTATTTAATTCATATTTAATCATATATAACACGATAAAAACGACAAACACGAAAACACGACAAATACATGCTCAATCGTGTCAATTTCGTGTGGATTTGTAAACACGAACACGACACGACACGACATCGTGTTTTTTAAACTTGACACGAACACGACACGAAAACGAATTCGAATTTTGATTTCGTCCCGATTTCGTTTCGTGTCGTGTATTTTTGTCGTGCCGTGTCATAAATTGACACCCCTAAGATGACCTAACTATGATGTTACAAATGCAATAAAAATACATCTAGAATGTGCATGCATCTACAAGATACACACTAATAAACATAAATTGTAAAACCTTGATGATAATGCCATCGATATTATTCAGATGGGTAATTGATCGATCCACTCCATGATTACCAAACCTTTTGTTCATGGTTGGGATCATCGAATACTGTGTGTTAGCTTCTTGACTTCCTTGGTTATAATTTGATTGTGTTGATCTCTTGTAAACGTGCCACCACTTTCTCCATTGAAGGCCGGCGAATTGGATCTGGCTCAAGACAGTTTAGGATGAGTTTTGCTACTTTCATTGCACCTTTTGATGAATAAACTTGTTCCAACCGTGGATCCATGATTTTTCCTAGTTTTTGTATATTTCTTAAAAAAAATCTAGCCCACTCCACCAAATTCTGTTGTGAGGAGGGCCGACTACGATCAAGTACACGTAATCCTGTAATCATCTCTAGCATCACCACCCCAAAACCATAAACATCACTCTTCACATATAGATGTCCTGTAGTTGAATCACATCCTTTGTTATTGATGTCTTAAAAAACCCTTGTTAGCCTAAGCAAAAATCACCATCATTGATCAATTTAGATAAGCCATTTTACTTTCAAGTCCACTAACAATTTAACTAATATCATTTAAAATTAGTTTTCCAATGCATGTTTAGTAATAAGACTAAATAGGACTATTATTTCTGTTTACTTTCTGTGGGGGATAATAAGGCATGATTTGATTTTCAACCACTATACTAGAGCAATACTATCCTAGTGGAGCTAAGCAACTAAGCAAGCATTGTTCCACCAAACAAAAACGCTAGATAAGAAATCCCAATAAAAAGTGAAGAAACCATAGCCAATGTGACCCCCAAGACTGAGAAACCTTGTGATTTAATTAATCCGTAAAACCAGCAAGCTGATTGTGCCAGCTTGAACAAGGAGATTAGAGAACTAACCAGTGGTTATGTACTCAGGAGCTGCATAACCGTAGGTGCCCATAACGCGTGTTGACACATGATATTCTCCATTGACTGGACCTAACTTTGCCAGTCCAAAATCCGAGAGCTTCACATTAAACTCCTGTAATAACATATATAACTCACTATAACAAATTGCTATGATACATACATACATATATATATATATATATATATATATATATATATATATATATATATATATATATATATATATATATATATATTCTCTTTATTATATAATATGTAATAGAACCCCCCAAAACATTGCTTAAAGGTTGCAATTATAATCATGGGTCGTATGTTCAGAGTAAAACCTATCAGTTTTTAACTTGCCTCATCTAACAAAATGTTTGCCATTTTCACGTCTCTGAAGATGATGCTCTTTTCTCTAGTGTGCAAGAAAGCAAGGCCTTGTGCTACTCCTATTGCTATTTTAATCCTCATGTCCCACGGAAGTGGTTTGAAAGTTTCTAAAATCCAATTTAAAACGGAAACACATCATTTACAAATTTCACAGATACCATTCAACTTTCCATATTTGTTGATATATATTTACACACTTACTTCTAAAGAGATGGCGATCTAAGCTTCCTCTTTGCATATATTCATAAACAAGAAGAAACTCCTTATTTTCCCAGCAATAGCCAAGGAGTTTAACAATGTTTGGGTGGCTAAATGTTCCCAAGAAGTTCACTTCTGCCTGTCATGAAAACACACAAAATTAACAATTTGATTTTTACTTCCTTTTTACCGTCCGTCAGCTAGCTACTAGATAATCTTGCCACTTTATAATATACTTCTAAAAATCTATTTATTTAGCAAGAATGGTTACACTCCAATAGTAGTCTAATGGGGAGTTTAATCCCATTAAATTCAAAATCCCCATTGTTGGTTAATGATATGACACTCAATAGAATAGGTCCTTATTGAACTCCACACTCTCTCTCCTCACACACATATAATGATGTGTCAATCCATTAAATTGTATTGGGTTTAATGGAATGTAGAGTTTAATAGATAAAGTTATATTGTAAGTGGAATGTACATGTGACAATCCATTGAACTCATTTGAGTTCAATGCATTGTAGATGGCCTAAGAGGAAAAATAGGACACAAAAGGTTACAATATTCCGATCTCTTTACCATAGTTTCACTTTTACCATATTTCGATCTTTTAGTGCTGTTTTACATCAGACAACACTTTTCAGTCAATTATTGAGCGGTTCTGTTAGATATAGGGTATTCACATCACTCTATCTACTTGTTATTTTGGTTAGATTCAAATGATGGCAGTCTACTTTAGTTCGATTCCCCACTTCAGTCAATGTGCTATTTTCCCATCCATTAATTTTAGGCAATGTAATTTTTTCATCCAAAAAAAAAAAATTCTCAAGTTCTCACGAATCATTGAGTTCTCAAAAGAACTTGAACGTACGTGTATACATTGCCAGGATCAACATAGATTAAGAAGATCAAGGGACGAGATTGATTCTAAGAAGATTAGGTATGTACGTTCCATAATTAAAGGAATAATTTAAGTGCGAAAATAAATAAATAAATAAATACATTGCTTAAAATGGGATAGGGACCTACAATAGGTTGCTAATCCATATTGAGGGTCACAAATTGTGCATATATGTAATGTAAAGAAGGTACGAGAATAATAAGCCAAGTACGTACGCAACTCATGCACACCAAAATAAATATTTCAGTGCAAGAGAATGGAGGTAACAAAAAAACAAACAAACCTGCCACTCGGAGAAACCATGAATACTTTCGGGGTTGAGTCTCTTGATGGCCACAGCTAACCCAACACCAGCCTTCCGTGGGACAAAAGTCACACTGTCCAACCACCCTTTATACACCCTCCCAAAACCACCCTCCCCAATCACCATGTCAGGCCGAAAATTCCTAGTGGCACTCCGAAGCTCAGAAAACGTGAACATCTTCAAGACTGGTATCTTTGTCTCTTTACCGGGTAGCACCACCTGCTGAGAAGCAGTTGCAACGCCACCCTCAACAAACGTGGTGGCATGCTTTTCCGTCATCATGCCTTTCTTATTGTTGTTGATGCTTTGCCCAAGTTTCTTTCTAGCACTCACACCACCTTCTGAAACAATAATTAATTAACATTTAGAAAGAGAATTAACATGAGATTATTTATGGGCTTTTTAAATAGAAGACAACGACATGTACATGTACGTGTACATGATCATAGCCATCTTCCTATAGGTCATTGTATCAGTGATATATAATGATCAAATTTTTTGGTGAGTACTGGCCTTCAAGATGGAATATATATCAACCTAAACATAATTAAGCTTATAAAAATCCTAAACAGTAAATAAAAGAGTTTTAACTTACTTATTGGAGCTTTAATCAAGAACAATGACCATGCCTTCTCAATAAATACAGATTTTCCAATGTCTTTTTGATCACGAGAACTCATCTCACTTTGCAATGTCCACGATAACACAAGCTCAAGCTTAGCTAACACCTTAGTCATTGTGGGTCGATCCTTTGAACATGCAAGGAGACATTCATATGCAATTCTTCCAAATTCCTTCAAACATTTAGCCCTCGTTTTCCCCCTCAAATAGGGATCAATGATTCGATCAATCTTACCTTTTCTGATGCACTTTTTGGCCCATACAGATAGGCTGTGTTGCTCCTCATCCAATGTAAAATCCAGAGCAGGTCTACCACACAACACTTCCAATAACACCACACCAAATGCATACACGTCAGACTTTCGTGTCAGTCTCTGAGTTGTGAAATACTCGGCATCCATGTACCCAAATGTGCCTTTGATCTGATCGGTATAAACATTAGTGGTCCCCACCAGCTTAGCTGGACCAATCCTGGACAACCCGAAGTCAGAAATTTTCGCTACCAAATTCTCATCCAGCAAGATGTTTGAGCTCTTGATGTCACGGTGTATGACTCTAGATTCAACACCTGTACCTGTATGGAGGTAGTCCAAACCACGAGCAGCATCTATGCAAATATTGAGTCTCTGGATCCATGTCAGCTGAGATGAATTACTTACATTACCTTTTCTTTTGTGCAAATGATCCCCAAGACTCCCATTCCGCATGTATTCGTAAACAAGGATCATCTCTTTTTCAGTAGATCCTTCATAATATCCTAGTAGAGACACGATGTGACTATGGCGAAACTTGGAAAGCATCTCAATCTCTGCCCGAAACTCGGTTGCCCCTTGACTTGAATATTCAAGATTCAACCTCTTAATGGCAACATCAATTCTTTTCCCAAAGTCAACTCTACCTTTGTATACATTCCCAAACCCGCCCTTTCCGATTACAAATGCATCATCAAAATCATTGGTGGCCAACCTAATTTCAGCAAGTGAAAAACGTCGACACTGTTTATCCAGCAAGGGTGATGAGAATGAATCGTTCCTCTGAACACGTTCTTCTTTGTGTAGGGATTGCTGACCCGATGGTGCTGACATGGATAAATTCTTCTGCTCACCATCATCTCCATCCTGTTGTTTCTTTAGAAAGTAAAACACAATACCCAATACAGTAAGGAGAAATATAAGGACCGAGAAAAAGTGCATCTTTTTCGGAGTTATGGATTACAGTTTGGAATGGAAGAAGCGATCCTTTAATCAGAAAGCTGGAGATGGGTTGCCTTGAATGCTTGAGTTCACTTTGATCGTCTAAATTGACCATCCAAATAGATACACATGTTGGCTAATAATTGTTTAACCCTTATCAGTAAAGTATCCGAATAGAAACAATTGTTGGCTAATAATTGTTTACCCCTTATAATTGAAGTATGTAGGACCGGACAAAAAAAAGTTATTTAAAGGGTGCAACTAAAATTCAAAGAGATATTAAATAGGGTGACCATGAGTCCGTTTGTGTTGGTTTAAAATTCAAAGAGATATTAAATAGGGTGACCATGAGTCCGTTTGTGTTGGTTTTAACGAGGCGGTAAAAATTGACACCACATGAAATACGATATGAACCTGACACAAAATAAATGAGTTTGGGTAAGATATTTCAATCCGTTTAAATAAACGGGTTGACACGACACAATATGAAAATTAAACGGATAATATCAGGGTTGAGAAATTCAACTCAAATATGACTAAAAAATGACCCGTTTATTGATATGCAAATATTTTGAATTCTTTAAATAAACTAGAAAGATACCAACCCAAAACCATAAGTAAAAGAAAACCTTTTGATTGAGTTGTTTTATAATGTTTAAATGACTTAACCGTCTAGATCAAGACTTCATTTTTAGTTTTTCCGTTCTCTTCCAGACTACAGAGCCCCTTTGACCACTCTCTCATCCTCATGATATTGTCTTCCACCTCCCCATCTCATACACTTTTAATTTTGTTATCTGAACTTGGCATGACTTCATATATTCCACCTCCAAACTATTAGTTTTTCAATTCCGCCTACCAAACTCCTACTCTTTCAACATGCTTAATCTTTTAGCCTCACATGACACGATATATTTCAAGGTATACCCCTAACACGAAACCCGACACGAACTGGACATAAAAATAACAAAGTGTACAGAATCAAATAATACAACAATACAATAAACAAGATAAAGAAATAACAAAATTTCCAAAACTATAGGCTTTACATAATCGAAACAAATAAATTTATGCTATTAACCCCCCCCCCCCCCCCCCGCGCGTACCGATACGAAGCTTGGTGCGAAAATCCTCAAACAAAGGTCTTGGAGGGATTTTTGTGAAGATATCGACTAACTGTAGATGTGAAGGGACAAACTTGGTAGAAAGTTTGCCAGATAAAACAAGCTCGCGAACAAAGTGATAACCAATGTCAATATGCTTAGCACGTTTGTGAGCAATAGGGTTTTGACTTAAAAACAAAGCACTTTTATTATCACACAAAATGGTCGGTCGTGAGGGAGGTAAGATGTGAAGTTATTTGAGAAGATGTGTGATCCAGATAATCTTAGCAGCAATGTTGGTCAAAGCTCTATATTCTGATTCATAACTAGAACAAGAGACCGTTGGTTGTTTCTTAGCACTCCAAGATACTAAATTTCCACCTAGAAAAACCGAATAACAATAAGTAGAATGTCGTGTCTTCATACAGCGTGCCCAATCAGTACTCAAGAATGGTGGGTGAAGATGCATGAAGAAATGAAAGACCAAAAGACATAGTGCCTTTAACATAGGGTAAGATACGCTTGACTGCTTGTAAATGGTCTTGTGTTGGTGCATGAAGAAACTAACTGACTTGATTATGAAACATACATAAAACACGGTCTAAAATTTTCATTTTTATTTATTAAATAAACCATCGATATCAAATCATTTAATCCAAAAACATAAGTCATGGTCTCAAAGTATCACAATCAATGTATCATATCTAAAATATCAGAGTAAAAACATCCCAAACTTGTCACACCCCAAAACCGGAACGGCGGAAACGTTCTGGGGTGGATGACGTCGTGTCAGGTATCACAACACATGCATATAGTAATCAAAGTACAACAAAACATTGCATTAATAGTAATAATTTTTACATGGTTACGTTACAAGGTATCAAAGTATACAAACAAAATAATAAGTACAGCAAGGTACTAAGCCATCTTCATCAACAGCTCCGGGGGTGTACATGTCTAATTGCTAACTTGAGAATACAAGTTATTTGAAAAGCGAGTATCAGCATTTTTACAAATGCTGGTGAGTTCATAAGTATTTAGTGACATTTCATTCAAATAACTTTATAAGTAGTAGTTTAAGTGTTTACTGTGTATTAGAGTTCTTTCCAGAAAATCCTATATTTTCTTTAATAAAAGCAGCCTTCTACCAAGGCTGGTCAGTGTTAAGTGGTAAAAAAAGTAGTTTTTCCCTTAATTGCCATCATTATCAAAATACTGAATTTGATTATTTAAGGAAGCAAGAGACATCAGGGAAATACATATGCCTCAACAGTGAGGACTGCTGACTAAGGCAAGGAATTATAGACTCCAGGAAAGTATCGAATGAACGACACACCTGGTTCAGTCTAACAAATAGAAACACGGACCCCAGAAGGTACCAAATGAAAGGTACAGCTGGTAAGGTCTAAAAACAGTGAATACAGACCCCAGACAGTATCAAATGAAAGATACGTCTTGTAAGGTCAAAACAGAGAAAACAGACCCCAGACAGTATCAAATGAAAGATACGTCTTGTAAGGTCAAAACTATGAAAACAGACCCCAGACAGTATCAAGTGAAAGATACGTCTTGTAAGGTCAAAACAATGTGACTCTGAAAATAAATTACCAGCATACAGTGTAAATTGCCGGTGTGATACCGTTACCTTAAGGCCAATGAATTATAAGGTAACCCGGGATACTCGTAACCATACTGACTAGAGTACCTGACGCCCTACAAGCGTCTATGACATTTGTCACCCCTTGGCTTGGTGGGCCATGGACTGTAGCTAGCAGTCAGGGTGCGGGGGTGTCAATCCCGTATAGATCTATACACACAATGTCCGCTCTCCCTACAGGAGACTCTGGTTACCAACTAGACGACCGAGAAGGCCGCATCCCGAAGATGCATCCCAAATAGAGGATAATGTGTTTCTAGAGGGGAGTGGGTTTCTAATGTAAGTGTTGTACTAGAGGTAGAGACTTCCAAACAGTGGGTAGTGTGTTTCTAATGTAAGTGTAGACTAGAGGTAGAGACTCTTAACTGAACTGACTAAAGAATTCCTGTATGTCCATACTCATATACATAGTATATAACTAATGAACCAAACGACCTTCGGACGGCCATCCGATCCCACCAGACCACATCTCAACGAAGAAAAGGAAATAGGGCGGACGAGCCTTCCTAAGTCTTTCAATCGTTACTTATATGTATCTATATAAGCACATACATACATCTAACTACGACTGAGTGTGTAATAAGTGGAGACGTATCATCATGGTGTGCATTCGTATAGTGTGGAACAACCGAGTCGTGAAGTATAAGCGTACCAAGTATAAGTGTATCACAAAGTGGAAACGACAACTGGTGAAGTAAAAGCGTCTAACAAGTATAAGTGACTACAAGCATAAGCGAGATAGAGGCAACAACAGGTATAAGCGTATCACGAAGAGAAAGAGTTATCAAGTAGGAGTTTAAAATAAGTGAAAGCGAAGCAGCGGTAACTAACAAGTAAGAATATACGTCGTAAAAGGGAACTTTGAGGAAAAGCCTTTATACTCGGGGAAAAATCATAATTTGTATTCTTTTGTAAAATATGTTTGAAAACCTTTGGAAATCTTTCATAAACCAGTTTAAAATGAATTTAGATAAAACATTATAAGTGAGAGTTTTAAAACAATTGAAAACTATTATAGTGTCCTACTCGGTAAAACAGTGTACAGTGTGGTAAAATCTTGCACATGCGGGTTATCAATCACATGTGATTGATATGATAATTGACATGTTTAACTTGTATCCCCCCCCTATAAAACATGTAAAAACATTTAAAAGGTTTATTTAGGGGTATGAACTCACCTGGTGTAAGTAGGTCCGACGAAGGTGCCGTTTGGGCGTTCGGTGTCACGTAAGGACTCGAACACACTCAATGACCTATTTTACATATGATAACATATGTTCACATACAATTAGTATATTTAATACTAATTAAACAAATATACACACTCAAAGGAGCGGAAAACACTTTGGATAAGTGTTTGGGTGTCCCGGGTAGCGTTTAAAGGTGTGTATGGCTTAGGAATGGAGTTTACTCTCCGAGAGTAAACCCTTAATATGTAGTTTACGGCCCATGGACTACTCACCATGATTTTACGGTCGTAAACTCATGGTGAGGGTATCTAGTGTGTTTTAAGGCTTCAATCTTGATAGTGGGATTTTTCTAAGTCCAATTCCAAAAGGCATGAGTGGGTTTGAGGTCTTTAAGGGCACCTAATTGGAGTTTACGGCCCAGGGACAACTCCTAGGGGAGTTTACGGCCGTAAACTCCCATTCCTTGAGTTTATGAAGTTTCAAGCCCTTATATCACTTCTAGCATTTTATAAAAATAGTCTAAGGCCATTTGGGGGACAAAAACCACATTTTTGGCTTGGTTTTGGGGAGTTTACGGCCTTGACACATGTCTGGGCCGTAAACTCCTTTTAATCCTCCAATTCCTTATGTTTAAATGATCTAAATCCAATAGGATAAGCCCCTAATTTATGTATGAAGTCCAAGGGTGGTTTGGGAGTGTTTTTGGGGCTTTTTGACATGTTTAAGAGGTGTTTACGGCCTTGGCATATTCCTGGGCCGTAAACTCTCTTTTACCCCCTAAAATCATGTGATTTAATGTTTAAACACTCCTAGGCAAATCCCTTAATTTATTTCCAAGCCTTTAGGGACATTTTGGGGTCATTTAGGCCTCATTTAAGGTGTTTACGGCCTAAGGAGGAGCTTAGGCCGTAAACTCCTTTTCAATAGATTCTAAGTCCGAATTTTAAGCTATAAACACAAATCAATATGTTTAGAATAAGCTAGGGTAAGTGGACTTACGATTTGGAAGCGTTTGGTTGCGGATTTGGGGTGAAAACGGGTCTAGAGAGA